GTGTTTACTAAAATAAATTTTATCTCACAACTCACTTCACTTCTCTGTGTGTGTGTGTGTGTCTCCCTCTCTCTCTCTATATATATATATACACCCATAACCCCCTACTACCCCATCACCACCTTCATCTTCAACCTCACAAAACCTCAGTACTACATATATATATATAGAGAGAGATATATATATATATATAACAGGCTTCATAGAGAGAGAGAGAGAGAGAGAGAGAGAGAGAATGTCTGGTGTATGGGTGTTCAAAAACGGCGTCGTTCGGTTGGTGGAGAACCCAGGGGTGGAGTCATTGGACGGAAGCCGGTCAACGAACAGCCGGCGGAAGGTCCTGGTACACACGCCCAGCAATGAGGTGATTACGTCATACGCCGTTCTTGAGCGGAAGCTGACGTCACTTGGGTGGGAGAGGTACTACGACGACCCTGATCTTCTACAGTTCCACAAAAGATCCACCATCCATTTGATCTCCCTCCCCAAGGACTTCAACAAGTTCAAATCCATGCACATGTACGATATCGTCGTCAAGAACCGTAACGTCTTTGAAGTCAGAGATATGTAGCGCCATATATATATATATATATACATACACAGATATGTATGTATCGGTCCGTCCACTGTGTGCTTGTGTTTGTAAGTGTGAATCTCAGTGTGCTTTTTAATAATTAGTCTCTAATTATGATCAAATTTAGTTGGTTTCTTCTCATAATACTTCTCCTACGTGAGTTTGTGCTGCTGGATTTTCATCTGTAAGCGGATATATATACATATATGTATTCAGGTGTATGTGTGTGTGTGTATATATATGTATGTATGTATAGTGGGTTGATTTTGGTCATAATTACTAGGTTTTGCAGGAAGAAAATGTAGTTTGCTATATAAAAAAGTGTGACTTTGATGTGATATTTGTCAAATTTCTACGTAAATCTTTATTGCAATGAGAATTGGGATATTTTTCTCCTTCTCCCTCCTCTCTCTCCATCTATATAAATATGTATATGTATATGTGTATACATAGAGGAAGAAGCTGTAGCTATATAGCCCATGTTGTT